TTTACCATTATTTAAAGCACTTACATGGGTTTTTGTCAAATTTTCTTATGACTTTTATCACCATTGCCCTTTTCTTAAGGATATCAATTTTATCGATTTATTTGACTTACATGAATCTTTAAATAGTTTACAAATCAAATAAAAATTTAGAAATAACTTTTAGATGATGATAAAGATAATGATTTAGATACCCTCATTGTTAAGGATATTTTTCCTAACAATAGTAAATAGGTTATTAGAATTACAGTTAACTTACTCGTATTCATCTACACTGGTTTTGTACGTTAAAGATTTTAAATTTAAATGTTACAAATAACAAATATTAATATTTAATTATGTTACTCATTGTCTTTGTACGGCTTAAATTCAATAGCGTTGCATAAAATAGTCTAATTAGGAAAATAATGCGCTGAAGAGTCGAACAAGATTTTATTTTTTAAATACAACTTGTTTATTATATTTAAAAAGTTGGGAACTATTTTAAGCCTTCTTTTGGACAAAGTTCATAGATCTTTGGGCTTCAATTACCAAGGAATATAAACTTTACAAATAAAACCCGAGGATTGGCATTCGATTGCTGTCATTTTATATGTATATGGTTACACTTATCTACGTTCCCAATGTGCTTATGATGTAGCACCAGGCGGACTGTTAGCTAGTGTCTATCATATTACGAGAATAGAGTATGGTATAGACCAATCGGAAGAGGTATGCATAAAAGTATTTGCCTCAAGGAGGAATCCTAGAATTCCGTCTGTTTTCTGGGTTTGGAAAAAGGGAAATGGGCTAAGCGTTGTTTACAAAATAAACCCAAAATTAAGAAGAAAAAAAATTCCATAACCCCACATAATTTCCAAACCAAATCGATATTTTTGTGGTCGGAGTTAAAAAATCTAGAAATTTGAACTGTTGGAGAGAGAGGGAGAAAGAGAGAGATTCTTAATTTAAAATCAGAAAAGTTTTATAGGCCTATTTGATTTAACGATCTAGGGTTTAGAGAGAGGGGGCAGGCCACAATTAGAGAGGAGAGAGATTGATTTAATTGTGACGTGTGTTTGATTCACCCTATTGTGCCTTTATTTATAGTAGTATGATAGGTAAAAACCTTTCTCCTTAGGATTACAACAGGTAATCTACTTCTAATAGGAATATAAAATACTTTTTCATATCTCCTATAGGATTGGTCAACATGGTGGGAATTTGAGGAATATGAGATTGGGCATGGAGGAAGTTTCAATTGGGGATGGGTTTTGCGTTCACAATCGATTTCAACCCTTGGAAAATAATATGTTTCCTTATTTGCCTTTACAATCAGTCTCACGTGTTGACTGAATTGAACGGAACTATTGACGGTGTTAACGAAAATGACTATAGCTATACATTTTGACGAGTTGAGGTATTAATGGTCATGGAAATAAAATTGAAGGACGTTACTCCAATTGAATTAAAGTTGATGGACCATTAATACAATTTCCTCAATTGTGAATTATGAGTTTGGGGGCACATTTTGCTGCTCCATTAGTTTTGAAATGGGAAAGGGGAAGGGTGTGTGAGTGTGAAGAGGTAATGGGGGATCAGTGGTTCCCCCTATTATAATTATTAATTTTTTTTAAAAAAAACTCAATAAAGCAAAACGTTGTTGTCAGAATTTTAAATTTTTCTTACCAAGACTAAAACGACGGCGTTTTGGCTTGAATTTAAAATAAAAAATTATAATCCTTTGCCCAGCAAAGAATTTAAAATAAAAAATTATAATCCTTTGCCCAGCTCTGCTGTGCAACACAATGAAACCAGAGCAGGAAACCGAATTCCATCATTTTTGACAGGACTAGAGGGAGGGGAATCACTGGTCCTATGCTTGATTTCCAATTGCTCTTTGGTGTCTTCTCAGTTTACCATTATTTAAAGCACTTACATGGGTTTTTGTTAAATTTTCTTATGACTTTTATCACCATTGCCGTTTTCTTAAGGATATCAATTTTATCGATCTATTTGACTTACATGAATCTTTAAATGGTTTACAAGTCAAATAAAAATTTAGAAATAATTTTCAGAAGATGATAAAGATAATGACTTAGATACCCTCATTGTTAAGGATATTTTTCCTAACAATAGTAAATAGGTTATTAGAATTACAGTTTACAACTTTACTCGTATTCATCAACACTTATTTTGTACGTTAAAGATTTTAAATTTAAATGTTACAAATGACAAATATTAATATTTAATTATGTTACTCATTGTATTTGTACAGCTTAAATTCAATATCGTTGCATAAAATAGTCTAATTAGGAAAATAATGCGTCGAAGAGTCGAACAAGATTTTATTTTTTAAATACAACTTGTTTATTATATTTAAAAAGTTGGGAACTATTTTAAGCCTTCTTTTGGACAAATGATATTATTTATGAGCGGGGAATGGGCTAAGCGTTGTTTACAAAATAAACCCAAAATTAAGAAAACAAATTTTCCATAACCCCACATAATTTCCAAACCAAATCGATATTTTTGTGGTCGGAGTTCAAAAATCTAGAAATTTGAACTGTTGGAGAGAGAGGGAGAAAGAGAGAGATTCTTAATTTAAAATCAGAAAAGTTTTATATGCCTATTTGATTGAACGATCTAGGATTTAGAGAGATAGGGGGCCGGCCACAATTAGAGAGAAGAGAGATTGATTTAATTGTGAGGTGTGTTTGATTCATCCTATTGTGTCTTTATTTATAGTAGTATGATAGGTAAAAACATTTCCCTTAGGATTACAACAGGTAATTTACTTCTAATAGGAATATAAGATACTTTTTCATATCTCCTAAGATTTAGAGCTCGTTTGGATGTGCTTTTGAAATGACTAAAAGCGCTTTTAATGAAAATATTTTTAGAACCAATCATTAGTAAAGATGCAAGTAAATCCTGAAAAAACACTTAAAGTGCTTCATAGAAGAAGCACATAACTGGTGCTTCTTGTAGAAACCCAAAAATATTTTTTCTAAAAACGATTTCATTCATTTTAAAAACACATCTAAACGAATCCTTATACAATCACATACATATTCTAAATATGATTGCAACAAAAAACTAATATTAAAATAACATACCTATTCTAAATATGACTGCAACAAAAAGCTAATATTAAAATGGTACGAATCTCCAATCCCGTACTCCATCAGGATCGGATCTCAATTCTTCCAAACCGTGCAGGCTTGTCAGACTGGAAGAGTGCAAGACTGGAAATCAATGCCAGCAGATAAGAGAGAATAGTCAATTCCAAAATTCCAGAGACGATATTTTTTCATATCTCGGAAGCATGGAAGAAAATATCGATAATATCGGCGATATATCGCCGATATTATCGGTTTTTTCCCGAACCGATATTTTAAATGGTATCCAAGGTGTTTTCGTCATAATATCGCGATATTATCGCGAAATTTCAGAACTGTGCACGTCGGAGACGAACGCCGGAGCTTCTACAGCTTCGGGCGACTGTAAAACTGCCCCCTAGCCTCGCCGGAGATGGGTGTACTTATTCCCGAGTCGATTTCATCCCAAAAACCTTGTAAAAACACGACATATAACTTCAATTTCACATCTAAGCTTCGATCTAGAATATAAAAAGAAAAACCCGAAGCTTACCTACCTGAGAAATTGAAGGAACTCGCCGGAGCAGGTGCGATGGTGTGCGTGTGGGTCTCGGTGCAGAGAGAAGAGAGATCTCTGTGTGAGTGTGTGTGGTTGGACTGGGAGAAGGGAGAAGAGAGATCGAGAGATCTCTGTGTGAGTGTGTGTGTGATTGGACTGGGAGAAGGGAGAAGAGAGATCGAGAAGGATCTTTGTGTGAGTGTGTGTGTGTTGTGGACTGGGCGGAGGAGAAGAGAGAGAATTCTGAGTGAGATCGAGAGAGATGGAGGTGTGTGTGTGTGTTGGTGGACTGGAAGGGAGAAGAGATCGAGAAGAAGGATCTTTGTGTGAGTGAGAGATCGAGAAGGATCTTTGTGTGTGAGTGTTGACTGGGCGAGGGAGAGAGAGAGAGATCGAGAAGGATCTCTGTGTGAGTGTGTGTGTGGTTGGACTGGGCGAGAGAGAGAGAGAGAGAGAGAGAGAGAGAGAGAGAGAGAAAGAGAGAGAGACTTTAACATACCACCCAAGGTGGACGGGAGACTTAAACAAACAAAACCATTGGCTTTGATGGTTGTAACTTGTAATTATGAGGTGGACAGGTGATGTGAAAAAGGTGAGGTGCACCTCTGATGGTTTTAACTTTTAATAAATGTTATATAAATTATAAATTATAAATTATTTAGATAATATTTTGTTTTTTTTTACTAAGCAAGCAGATTATATTCGAACCCTCCCTTTGTCAACCACGCACCTGGGCTTTATCCAACTCGCTACAGATGTGTTTGTGATTACATATTCAGCCTGTAATATTTATATGGTCGTTAAGATGTCTGCAAGGCTTGCAAGCTAATATTTATTATCTAGGATAAATTTCTATATTTTAAAAAACACCAAGGTGAAAATTTTGAACCTCATAGGAACTCTATGTGGTACTAAGTCACTCATGTATCTTACCATGCAATGTATAAAGTGTAAAATATTGTACTAATTCATTATATATAAATGATTATGGTGTGTTTAGACTTCTTTCATTAATTACTACATATTTTATACTCACAATGTTTGTCAGCTCACTATATAATCAACTTGATAATGTTAAATCCATCATGCAATGCATTTCCTTCCAATTTTTTGTGATAAACTAATAGATAATTGACTAAATAAACATCTACAAAGTTTCAATAAAAATTTCCAAGTTTTTCTTACAATTTCCGTGGTTTCCATGTAATTTTTATCGATATCGATATTATCCCGATATTTCAATCGATATTTCCGTGTTTTCAAATTACCGATATTTCCGATATTATCGATATTTTCTTCCTTGCTCGAAAGTTCCAAAGATATAAACCTCACGAAACCCAGTTTTACTTTTATTTCGTTTCTGGAAGAGTGCAAGACTGGAAGTCAATACCAGCAGATAAGAGAGAAAAGTCAATTCCAAAATTCCAGGGACGATATTTTTTCATATCTTGGAAGTTCCAAAGATATAAACATCACGAAACCCAGTTTTACTTTTATTTCGTTTCATCTCTCTCTCTCTATTTCTGTTGCAGTCACCACAATGAGGTTCTTTATGAAAACCTTGTACTGTATCTGGGTTTTACATGTACTTTTCTGTTTGGTAGCTGAGAAAATGTAAGAAAAGCCAAGGCTTTTTAACCTTTTGACTTACCCATTGGAAAGAAGAAGAAGAGAGATAGACTTTTGGATCTGTTTGTGGCCTCAGCTGGGTTCTTAAACCCAAAAGAATGGTGGGTTTCTCTTTACAATTGCTATGCTTCTAAAAAATATGGAAAGATCATATTTTGATCAATCCAAAAACTTATATTATGCTGGTTTTAGTTTCTGTTCTGCAGATGGATACTTCAAGGTTGAAATATAAGCAAACCCCAAGTGCAATTGGATTGAAAATTTATAAGGTAATTAATTTTGAAGCAAATTCTTCTCTTCTTTTTCTTCTTCTTCACCTGCAATTTCAATTTTGGTGGCTCTCAGATCGACTTTTTTATTTGAAAGTTGGTCACTCAAAACAATAGATGTCTTCTGTTTTGTTTGTATTATAATTGATGCATTGAGAATTAGAAGGATAGTTGACTACAAAATCACATTTGATTGCCTGCCAAAAACTTCCTTTCATCATGAAAGATGAAACCATGTTTCTAATTCTACTCTCTACTAGTTGCTAAGCTGCCCTGTGCTGAATTGTAGTATTTGATTAACGAATTCAGTTTTTCGGCTTAAAATGTTGTGGGATGCTGGAAGTTTCGTGTTAATTCTGCGTTTGGTCTTTATGGAGGCAGATATGAAGACCGGTATATTTTCCCTGAATTACTTTGGTAGTTGGTCTAAGTGTTGATAGTAGATTGACTGAAGGACTCTACTAGAGAACTGAACTTCTGATTGATCTTGTAGGGTGTAAGAGTCTATGGCGTTACAGGGTGCATTCCCAGACCTTACTGTGTTGGGGTATCTCTCTAGTGTTTCCCCTTAACGTTTGGCAGTTCAGATGCGTAGGATTTTTTTTGTTGTCTTTTGATACCTTAAGTAAGGAGCCCTCAATGTTTAAAAGAAAACAGGTTTAGGCTTTAGTTAAAACTTATCATGTGGTACCGAGGATGTGCAAACTTCCTTTTACCGTTTATGTTTTTAAGAGATTTCCTTTTTCGAAAATTCCCTTTTTGATTCTTCTGATATATAGGTTGTAACAAACTATAAGCAGCAACTCAAATTTCAAGACAAAACTTTGCTACTGAAATTACAGAGATTTCTGGAAGAGAGAGTTTCAGTAAGCACGTGCTATTGCATATGCAAGCATCTTTAATAAGTTAGGCAAGGATTTACAATGCTGCGGGTATTCATCTTTTCCAGTTGCTAGATAGTACATGTAGATTAAAGAGGCCACCTTGATTTGCAAACAGATCCTGCAGCTGTAGTTACATCACAGAAAGTTTATGTTTACTTGTGTACTTTGACAGGGCAAGGATTTTGATTGATTGGTGATATTGTCCAACATAAAAGCTGGTGATGTCTTGTTGCTCTTTCTTCTTTCGAAAGAAGGAAGCTTCTTTTGTTAACCGGCCTGTTGAAATCGACGAAGGTACACTGTGGACATGTTTATTCTGTCGTTCCTTTTATAGAGATTATGCACATACTTTCAGTGTCAATATTAGTTACATTGGCACAATGCCATCTGTCAAATTAGCTGCTCAGTGCAATTGTGAAATGGATGGAGGACTTTTCTAGGTCCTACATGGATCTTCCAAATGGGAGGAGCATTTTCTATGTCAAGCGCTTTCATTTTATTAGCGTTACTGATTTATGAACCAGTTGAAGTCTGCGACTACTCAAAGCCCAAATTACCAAGTTCCCTCCATTCATATAATTGTTCCCTTTCAATTATTCTTTTTATGGATGACCGGGCTTCTTTTCAGAACCTGGACAACCCGGCCTTTTGTTTACTTTGTTCAACTTGCATGCTGTTGAACTAAACGCTGTTAGTAAGTTTTAGCTTTAACTTGAATTTAGGAGGTTTACCATTCTATCTTCAGCTACCTAAACACTTCTAATAGATTCCTATGGGTACAGTGGTTTCAGGCGTTTTGAATGTGAAGCAGTACGGTTATAGGGAACTGCAAATTGCCACTGAGAACTTCAGTAAAGAAAATAAAATTGGTCAGGGAGGCTTTGGCTCCGTGTACAAGGTAATTGCGCCTAAAGTTATTTTGCTTATGAGTTTTGAGGAATACTCGGTCTTGAGCACTTAATTGTGCTAAAGACTTCGTTGACTGTTACCTCTACAGGCTAAGAAATAATTTCAAAATGTGTTTGATCAGGGAACACTCAAGGATGGGACTTTGGTGGCTATAAAAGTCTTGTCAGCAGAGTCTAATCAAGGGTTGCGGGAATTTTTAACAGAAATCGAGGTGATTGCGACCGTTGAACATGATAACTTAGTTAAGCTATATGGTTGCTGTGCAGAAGGAGATCACAGAATATTGGTTTATGGCTATCTTGAGAATAATAGCCTAGCACAAACACTGCTTGGTAAGCAATGTTACTTGTTCCTTATTTGAATGAATGAATGATTTGTATGGATAAGGACTTCATCCTTCTGTACTTTATAGGGAAAGGCTACAGCGGTATCCAATTTACTTGGCTTACAAGGTGTAAAATTTGCATTGGTGTTGCAAGGGGGCTCGCTTATCTCCACGAGGAGGTTAGCCCTCATATTATTCACAGAGACATTAAAGCAAGCAATATTCTCCTTGATAAAGACCTCTCACCAAAAATTTCAGATTTTGGTCTTGCAAAGTTTATCGCCCACCACTTGACCCATGTTAGCACTCGTGTTGCTGGAACAACGTAAGTTTGCCATTTCCAGTGCTATTCTCTTTCTATCAGTTTATCCGAGAATGTAACAAATTGAAGTCCTGCCCATAAGTTTCCACCAAACTTCTCTCTCTGTCTCTTTCTACTTTTTTTTTCTTTCACATTTATCAAAATACTCGTGATTATATTGACATGTTTTGTTCCCTGTTCTCTCTCTCTCTCTCTGTACTTTTTATTTTATTTCACATTTATCAAGTTACTTGTGATTTTATTGACACATTTGGTTCCCTGTTTGATTCCTGCAGAGGTTACTTGGCGCCTGAGTATGCCATACGAGGTCAAGTAACAAGGAAAGCAGACATCTACAGTTTTGGTGTTTTACTGTTGGAAATTGTTTGTGGGAGGTCTAACACTAACAGACATTTACCACCCCAAGAACAATATCTTCTTGCACGGGTATGGACATTTCCGTGATATTGTATTAATGACTAAATTGAAGCCTTTTGACTGGTATATAGCTTTTACATGCAGGTAATAATCCTTGAAAAAAGAATAGTATACGAAAGCCTCTAGGCATTTAAACTGTAGTTAACGTTCACTAGCCTTGAAAGAAAAGCTTGCCAATTTCTTGGCCTGCAGCAATGGTGCGATTGATTACACTACTAAAATGTCGTACCCAGTGCACAAGGCTCCCGCTTTACGCAGGGTCTGGGAGAGGTGAATGTCGGCTAGCCTTACCCCCATTGATTACACTACTGCACACGGAAAATTCCTTGAATTTGTGAGGGTGTCAATATTAGTACTAGAAGATGGTTTTCAGATTAACGGAATATGTTAAAACTTATGAGACGTGTTTTGCGTTCATGACTGCGCCAGAGTCTCTTGATGACTCCATCGAGCTTCTTTAGGTGCTTAGTTTAGAGGAAACCCACCACGTATTTTAAGATTAATCTCTTTATTTTCATTTCCTTGTGTAGTCTTTGATCCGCAATCTCTTAAAAGTAACTTGTTACCTCATCATCTCTTGTCGGAAACATGGATAATGATTAACAAGTTTTCAATTACTACTAGAATCTTGAGCAGACATATCACATCCAAGTTCCTGTTGCAGGCATGGGAACACCATGAGAAGGGGCAGCTGGTGGGATTAGTAGACACATCTTTGAATGGAAATTTCGACGTTGAGGAGGCTTGCAGATTCCTAAAGGTTGGCCTTCTCTGCACTCAAGACATGCCTAAGCTCCGACCATCCATGTCTACCGTTGTTCAAATGCTGACAGGTGCATTAGATGTGAAGGAGGGGAAGATATCCAAACCAGGGCTGCTTTCTGAATTTATGGAGCATAGAGAAGGTGGGAGAGATAAGGCCAACAAAAGACATCCATCTCACACGATATTCGCCTCAGGGAAGTTTATCAATTCATCTTCTTCATCAGAACCCGCCCCCACTTCATTTGCTACTATGACCTTCAATTCTATATATGACCGAAGCAATTAGGGCAGTCAGGATCCATCCATTTTTACGAAATTGTCTCTGGTTTGGTCAGGCTGTAGGCAATTTAATTCTTCTAGGTTATATAGGGAAACAAGTACATATATTTTTACGTGGATACGATTGTCTTCCTAAGAACTAGCCAAATCATTTTTCAGGTGTAAATGTTTCTTGTCATCCGAAACTTCAATAGTTTGAATGTTTGATCATCCTAAAAGAATTTGAAAGAGAAATAGCATTAGTGAATGTATATCTGTTGTGCAGATATATAGGTATATATATATATATATATCTAGCTAGCTAGTTTCTATTTCTGCAGCATCTGCACCACAGAATGAGAAAACAAAACACTCTATAACCAATTATGAATACCAGCATCACACCCAAATTGCTCCATTTCTGTGCTTCTTTTAAACCCTGCTGTCTCAAGAATACATCCCCGAAAAGATTGCATCCTTCATTGCCAATCTGTTGAATGCATCTCCTTCCCTGCTCTCCTCCGTATTCATTTATTATAAAGCAATCGAACGGGTACTTGAAAAGACTCAAGTAGTGCATGAATATCCAGTAGCTTGGAAGCCGGTCCTTTGAAATGAAGTATCCCGAAAAGAGAAAGAAAGATCCCATGAGCCCGGAAATCAGGGAACTCCCCATGATGAAGTTGGGCACAAGAGCACTGAAGCAGGCCACAACAGAATTGGACATGAGAAGAACCATCCAGACCACCAGAGAGAAGTAGAGGAATGCATCAAAGTCCCTCCTCAATCCGACTAGCCAGTAAACCGGTGCGGTGAACAGAAAACAAACCATCAAAAGGAAAGGGAGGAAAATGAGGGTGTTTGCTATGACATAGGAGGAAACTCGATAGGCTCCCTTGGAAGTCTCATTCATTAGTATTCTCCGCTCTTGTAAGAAAATCGGTAGGCCTTCTGTGCTGGAAGACAGCAAGAATGTGAGGCTGAAGGCGAAAAATCCAGTTTGTGTTTGCAAGGCAAAGCTCCCTTTTTCCGCTCCAACATTAAAGAAAATGCTTCCGAGTACGAATCCAGCTACCAAGGCTTGTATAACTCTAGTGACAAACAATTGCTTGGTTCTAAATATGTTGCTACAAAATCTTCGCCCTAGTATTACAACTTCCCGGGGACGCGCATTTGGGTAGACTGGAAGCTTCTTTGCTAAGATACCAGAGCATACAAACCTTTGTTCTAGAGGCCGGAAACATTGGTTGTGCAAGGTTTCTGAAGTTTGTGCACCCTCCAAGCTCTTGATAACATCAATGGCGAATTCGAGCAAGTTAACATGGTTGGGGATGCGATGGCCAGCTAAATTGAGCCTTTCTTGTAGAAGACACAATGATCCATTGTGGATCACAGTTCCATTTGAAAGCAGAACAACGCGATCGAACATCTCTAGGATTCGGAAACCTGGTTGGTGAATTGTCAGGACAATAGTTTTACCCTGATTGAAAACCATTGTTCTGAGCAATGAGACTACATGGAAAGCTGAGGCAGAATCCAACCCTGAAGTTGGTTCATCAATCAAAACCACAGCTGGATTATGAACTAAATCAACTCCAATCGAAACCCTGCGCCTTTCACCACCCGAAATCCCATTGTTTGATCCCCAGCCGACTCTTGAACCCGCGACATGTACCAGCCCGAGCTCCTTCATCAGCTTCCACACTTCATCTGCAGCATTTTTCCTCCCACCAGGAAGCCTCAGCAGAGCACTGTATATGAGGGTTTCTTCAACTGTAAGTAACGGAAATAGGGCATCGTCCTGTGTGACATAGCCCGACATTCTGCGAAAACTTTTTGTGTCCATAGGCTGACCATTCACCAGCACCTCACCACACACTTTCTTTGGGGATATCTTTCCAGCAAGAATCTCTAGCAGTGTGGTTTTTCCAGCTCCACTAGGGCCAGCGATTGCAGTGATCTCTGCAGGCCTTGCTTCACAATTCACATCCTTCAGAACGAACTTCGGAACTCTCCTCGGGCTCTCCCTACAACACACGAATTTCATCTCATCGAATCGGGTTGATAGTTTGTAGCACAAGTTTCTGGTTTCAAGTCTGTATGGTGTTATCAGGCTGCGGGAAACCGGCATTTTCACAGGCAACTCCATGTTGTGGGGGGAAGAGTAGAAGTGAGAGAGAGAGAATGTGATATTTGTGGGGTAGTGTAGATGAAATGGAGGAGATGAGCTAACGCACCAAACTGTGTGTTTTCTATACAAGTTAGGGTAGAAGAGAAGCCAAAGCTTTGATACTTTTGCTTTCCTTCTGTTTTCTTGTTGGCAAACATAAATTCTGGAGTAACTTTTCGATATAGTCGAAACACAATCACGTGACGTTACTATTTCACTCAAATCAAACTCATGGATTTGGTTTTTTATTAATATACTTAAAAAATTAGACATATCTGTTCTATCGTCCACTCTTATTATAACACGTAAAATGATACACCACGTGACTTGTGTTTCAAATATGCGTATAAAATTCTCATAACTTCTGATGGGGGGGTTGGAGAAAACCCAAAAGAAGAAAACATGAATCATTTTGGGAAGTTTGTTCAGGTGAGCTGTTCAGGTGAGCAGAATATTGACTGTGTAGGGTTGGTGTTGGTTGCTTCACTATCTTCCACACACCCATATCAATACCAGTTCGGTAGGAATTTTTCTATATTTGGCCGATTAGCCAATTACAACAAATTGAGTGTGCCAAACTTTGAAATAAAAAAAGGTCATCCTCAGATAAATGTGCAGCCAAGCCCATCTTGGTTCTATGGGCTTTTGCCTAAGTAAGAAAGGAAAGGCTTGCAGGTTTTGTGCTCGGGTAGTTCCTCTTGCAACGAAAATCGAACTCTAAAATCGATAAAAATGGTCTTTTAAGATTCTTTATTGCCAATTATTTTGGTTTTTATATGAAAAATTTCTGTTAAATTGAAAAAATAACCAATTCAAAGGGAGTGGTTGATTTGACAAAATATCCTTAATTTAACGGAAATTTTTTCAAAGAATGATCAAAATAATTAATGATAGACAATTTCAAATCTCAGATACCAAAATGAAGAGTTATGCCAATCACAATGATCATTTTCGATAAAAGGCCTCAATTAGTTTTTACTTGTCCGTTTAATTGTATTCTTTAATTTCATTAGGCATTTCGGGCGATTTGGGCTTTTGCCAAAGTAAGAAAATTGTTTTTCTTGTGTTTTTTGTTTCACATAGTGGTAGATTGGGGAATTGAAATACATGGCCGATTGAGAGTTATGTGAAGACCAATATCACTTCTGTTAGCAAAATTAAAAAAAAATGATTTAAATGAGAATTAGAATCACTTTAGTTTTAAGTGATTTCTTATAAAAGTACATAAAATGTGCTTATTCACAAAAGAGATTTTCTAAAAAGAAGATAACTACTTAGAACGCTTAATGAAACTTTCAGAATACTAACTCACTTCAATAGAAATTTCAAAGAATTCTGAAGATTAACATGGACAACCCTAGCTTGGACAAAAGTTTCGGAAAGATAATCTAACCAGCTCACAAAAAGTGAGACCATGCTCATTGGGAGTTGTACATTTATGGAGCTGAATAGTGCCTAAATATCAAGGCGTCCGTTCGTTTATAAAATTTGGAGAAGTTTTCCTATTTCGGATCAATTTTGACTGATACATGTACTAATAGTTGGTTCCAAAATAATCTCTCTTCCAAAATATTTGTCCTAGACAATTTGGAATGAAGACTTATTTTTGTATAGCTTATTGGTTCTTGTGAGACCGGCAAAATAGACGTATTTTGCAACAGGATTTTGCTCACCCTAATGATCCAAGATAAGTTATTATTGCTTACTTAAAAGATTGACTTCACATGAATGTGGTTTCCTCTATGAAACCCTTTCAAACGCATGCTTTTCTTTATTGGGAACCTCCTTTTGAGAGTTGGGTAAAGCTTAATATTGATGGGGTGTCGCAAGAGGGTGGCCAGTTTCATTGGTGCTAGAGGTGTCCTCAGAAACTCATCGGAGCATGGATCTTTGATTTTTTTGCTAATCTTGGTCAATGTGAGATTTTATGTGCTGAAACTGAGGGAGTTTTTATTGGGCAGCAAATTGCATAAAATAATGAAATTAAGAAGATTTTAGTGGAATTGGATTCTGCACTTGCAGTACACTTGATTCTAAATGCACAAATGGATAAACACCTTCTAAAAAGTTTAGTAATGGGTTGTTGTGCTATTATGCAACAAAGTTAGTCTTGTGAAATGTGACATATTTACCGTGAAATATTTTGTTTGTTTATAATGATATGGCTCATTTAGATTTATCATGCAATTTGAGGTCAATCTTTTTCTAACAAGCTCCTCCTTATGTAATCTTTTTATTTTGGACTTGATGTCCCGCTGTCAAATCGAAAAAAAAGTTGAAATGACTCAAACGACCATTAGAAGATACTTGGAATGCTATTTTGAAAACTAATAAAAATGGTTCGAAAACTTTAAGTTTTAACGATAAAAACAAAATAAAGGGTAAAGTAAATAGTACAATGATTGACTTTTTAATGTAAAAATGTAATTTTCCATTAAAATGAACAGCACTGAAAGTTTTTCGTTAAAGTTTTTTTTATTTATACTAATGATAAACTGAAAATCGAGGGGTATTTAAGAAACTTACCATCACTCAGTCACTGCTATAAAACCTCCGGAAAACCCAGATACGCCCTTATCTCCCACTCTCACTCTAGGGTTTATCAGAGCCCCAAACCCTCATCGCGATCGACCATGGCGACCCATTTCTTCTACCGCTCGCTTCCCAAGACCCAAGCCATGGCTTCATTTCTCTCTCGTTCCCTCACCACCGCCACCTCCGCCGCTTCCCTATCCACCGCCGCCCGATCTCGCTCTTCTTCGCTCTCTCTCCTCCACCGCCTCCGCCCCCTCGCCGGAGTCATGGCCTCCGCCGGCAGGCTCTCTCCTGCCATCGTCCGGTGCTTGTCCACCAGATCGACCACGTCGTCGCTCAGAGACCCAAACCCTAACTGGTCGAACCGGCCTCCCAAGGAGACGATCCTCCTCGATGGGTGTGACTTCGAGCACTGGTTGGTTGTCATGGAGCCCCCTCAGGGTGACATCACTAGGGATGAGATCATCAATAGCTACATCAAAACCCTAGCTACCGTCGTCGGAAGGTAACACCTCCATTGTTTTCTGTCTAAAGTAACCATTTATTTATTTATTTGTATGTGTTTGGATTATGAGAAGTTAGAAATTGGAAATGAGAGTTTAATAAATTATATGGCTTTTCTAGTGTATTTGTTTCTTTAATACAGTTTCAGTTTATATCTGTATTTATTTTTACGAAGGTGTAGCTTTTTAATTTTCTCCTTTTCGATTACGGTAATGTTTTGGGTTAATTTGATTCGTATTGCATCAGTAAACTTTTGTTTGAGAAAATACAAGAGGTTGTTTCTCTGTTGTGGGGAGGGTTGTATGCACATGCTACATTCTGGCATTATCTGGTTGTATGAAACTAGTTCTGTTTTGTGTTACGCACCTGCCCGATTATTGAACATTATATGTTATATCCTGTGCTGTAAAAGATAATGGCTTATTGTTGCATGCAACTATTTTATTATTGTCTGAATTGGGATCGCTACGGCTGTTGTAGGATGTGAAATCATTTTGTAATTGCAATCTCGGACTGTTATATTTCGGCCGAATTTGGGGGTACAATTGTTCTTAATGTTGAACAATATGGTTTGACGTTCTAACAAAAGCAAAACTCATTAGCTTCATTTTTGATACTCAAAATTTAAACTATAACCACTTTGTGGCATGATCTTAATGTTCTCGTAAATAGTATGGTCTTAATCACATCTGGTATAGCATGGTCTGGATCACTTTTTTTTTTACAGACCAAAAGCAAATAGGATTGTATTGTATTCCTATTGTTTGTGTTCTCTGTGATTTATGTTTTGCAATGACAATTCATATAACCAAGTTTACGTTGCTTGTATGTTGGCGGCTGAACTGCAGTGAGGAAGAAGCTAGAATGAAGATCTACTCAGTTTCAACTAGGTGCTATTATGCATTTGGGGCACTTGTATCTGAAGAGGTTTCACTCAAAATCAAAGGTGATTCTGCTTCTCAGTTGGGATTTTTATTATTTCCTTGTGCTTTGTCTGGGTTTTCATATATGTATTTTTCTAAAATTCTTGCAGAGTTGCCTGGAGTCCGTTGGGTACTTCCTGATTCTTACTTGGATGTTAAGAACAAAGATTACGGAGGTACGGATATGCTTGTTTCTTCAAGTTGCATTTCAATGAAAAACAAATTATTTATAGCAATTGATTATTTTAAGTCGTAAATCCCATTCTGGAATATCTCTGGCAGTCTGAAATTTGGATTTTTGATCTATTTCTTTCTTTTTTTCTGACAAAGGATAGTTTGAGGCGTTAGAATGTTACCGATGAAAGTTATCCTAAAGGGCAGTTAATGCTGTAGCAGTGCTAGTGCTATATGGAACCCGGGAAATACAAAAACCCCTGTTGAAGGCTTTCTAGTTTCTGCAACCCTAGTCAATATTGTGTACAGAGTTTTTCATATATAACATCACCTTTAGTGCTGATGAACTAACCAGTTTCTTGTGTTGATTGCATCCGAAAAAAATTGATCCATGTTAAATTTTCAATTCATAATTTCTGGACTCCAAGAATTGTGGTTTGGTCACCGAGTGTGATAGTAATATTAAACTGCAGCATGTGTTTTTTCTCCATTGTATACCTGTTTCTATTGTTTTCAACTGAGTTAACCAGAAAATTTCTTTTATACATGATCTGTTTGCTTTCTTGTTTGTTTTGGCAGGTGAACCTTTTATTAATGGCCAAGCTGTGCCATATGATCCCAAGTACCATGAAGAATGGATAAGAAACAATAGTCGAGCAAATGAGAGAAATAGACGTAATGACAGACCTCGTAACTTTGACAGATCCAGGAACTTTGAAAGGAGGAGGGAAAATACCGGTCCATCTCCTATGCCTAATCAAGCTGGCCCAAATTCGGGACCTGGACCTGCCAACATGGGTCCTCCACCCCCCAACAGGGGTCCTCCACCTCCCAACATGGGTCCAGGCCCGATGCCTCCCAACATGGGTCCTCCACCCCCCAACAGGGCTCCAATGCCGCCTCACAACATGGGTCCACCAAACAACTACAATAATCCCCCGCCAAGCAGCAACTGGAACTCTGGGCCTCCCAACAACTACAATCAGGCACCTCCCAACAACTACAATCAGGTGCCTCCCAACAACTACAATCAGATGCCTCCCAATAACCTGGGAGGGGTGCCACCAAACAACATGGGTCCGCCATCTAATGCAGGATGGAATGGTGCTGGACAATACCAGAATAACTACACGCCAGAGAGGGACGGTGGAGCCAATCCTGGCCCAAACCGTTACTAAGTTTGAGGCTAGCTATATGGTATGATGAGTCTTGTAGGCATGGTGTAGATAAACGAGGTTGCTCGAGATGGGCCGTAGGTTGGCATATTGGTGTGGTCTTGAATGATATTTTGTTTGGCAATATAACTGTGGTCGGAACCTGGTTGCCTTTCATCTGAATATTATTACATTTTCGAGGTCATATCTTATGCGATTAGTCGTGTCTTACTTTGGTACACGGTATGAGTTAGTGAACATAATGACAGAAGGCAGACTGTCTGGTGATCCTGTTTAGATGGAACATGTTAATTTGCAGTCTACTGTGATGATTGCCTGTGTTGCTTCTGCGATGATGTTATTTAGCAAACCCATCTTTTCAACCTTTTCATGCGCGCAGCTAACATGAACGCAGCGGAAATATAGAGGTTGGTGCTCATTGACCTCTTCTCGGTTCTTTACATGCCCATCAATACGACACTTGTTTGGAAGTGGAGCACCGCAAAGTTTTGGAATCCCCTCAACTGCGGTAAGCGTTGAAGCATTGGAACTGAGTGCTTGTTGACTTAGTAATAAAAGATATAGAGTAATTGAAACTAGCAAAAGATTTGGCTCAAAACCGAGTATAGTGACATTATAGGATTCATACAGCAGACTCACTTAATGGGTTACGGCTTGATTGTTGAAGGCTTGCGAGAGACGATGGATTTTTGGAGACAAATGATTTTGGAGAGATCCAAACCCTTTAAGTTCTTAAGGTTAGATATTTGGTCTGGAATGTTGCAAGAGAAGTTGTCGTCTAGATACAACTCTTGGCAAAGCCGTAGTTGGCCGATCTCAGTCGGTATATTACCTGTAATGTTGTTGATAGAGAGATCCATCAATGGAGGAAAGTAGGACAATCTATGGGGTAAGCTATCGGGATTTATCACCGCGACTGTGTAAAGAGGCGATTCGAGATCATAACGATCTGTTTGAGCTGCAATAGGCTCATGTACGTACCAACGCCGGTACTCTACAAAGTTCTTTCAGAAATTCACTTGAAACAAGGTTCATTGACAAGCTTATATGAGAAAGTCTTGGTCGATCAATCCCCAACCAGCTGCGAATTGTCTCTGTGGTTTTGTTACGGTACCTCCAAGAGATTCTTTAGCTTTGCTAACCATACAGGTAGGTATTCGACCAGTGAGCTCACAACGCGCCAAGTTTAAAAATTGAAACCAACCATGTCATCGTGAGATGGCATTCCTTCACCATTAAAGGACTACGAAAGGAGGAGCGTGCGAAGACTTTTGCAACGCATCAATATCTTCATTGCCCCCGTGACGTTTTTCAATCGGTTGTTGCTAAGAGAGAGGAAGGACAAAGAGTTTACCAATGAACTTGTGCTTACATAGGTCAGGTTTAGTAAGTTGAACAAGTTCGGAGAAATTAAGCTTGGTAATGTCTCCTTCCAAGTTATTTCGTCCCAAACGTAGTTCTACAAGGTTGGTGCAATTCATCAAAGATTACGGCAACAAACCTTGTAGGTTGTTGAAATCGAGGGTTATGATTTTGACCTGGAGAGCCTCCCCAGATGGAGAGCATGGTCTAAAATATCCATAATATCCCGATATTTCCATAGAAATTTTAGTGTTTTTGAGCTACCGATATTTTTTTGGATTACCGATATTTCCGATATCATCGATATTTTAGACCTTGCTAAGTCACTTATGTATCTTACCATGCAATGTATAAAGTGTAAAATATTGTACTAATTCATTATATATAAATGATTATGGTGTGTTTAAACTTCTTTCATTAATTACTACATATTTTCTACACTCACAATGTTTGCCAGCTCGCTATATAATCAACTTAAATCAGTTATATCTATCATGCAATGCATTTCCTTCAAATTTTTTGTGATAAACTAATAGATAATTGACTAAATAAATATCCTGCAAAGTTTCAATACAAATTTCCAAGTTTTTCTTACAATTTCCATGGTTTTTATTCAATTTTTATCGACATCGATAATATCCTGATATTTCCATCAAAATTTCCGTGTTTTTGAACTTCCGATATTTCCGATATCATCGATATTTTATACATTGATGAAGAGGGAGCAGAGAGGTTAAGGATTGTGAGGTTGACAATTCTATCACTAATGTAATGCCTCCATAAATGAATTCAGAGGTAATGCAAGTTCTTCGAGTTTGGTAGCATTATTTGATATCTTTTGGAAGTAGCCCTAAGAGATTATCTTGACCATCCGAAAAATCTGCCGCACGTACGTACCACCTCCCAAAACTGCGTAAAATGTTGCCACTGAATTGGTTTGAGGAAAAATCCAACACCCTATTCAAGGGGTTAGATTGGAGACAAATAGAGGAAGGGGTTGTACCTTGAAACTTGTCAAGTTCCAATGAAGACGGAATTGCACCATGAAGTGATTGCTTGACAAATTGAGTTGAGGTGGGTCGTGACCCGACCTTCAACAAAGATAATAAGCTTATTTAGGCCCCAAGCACATGGAAAGTTCTTTTAAAATATTCAAGTGATTTTCTGCCAAATGTTGTTGAAAGCTCCTTCGGTGATCTTGAAGCGTTTTTAGTTATTTTAAAAGCATTGTTAAACACGCCTAACCAAACTTCGGATCCAAACTAAGAATAGAGAAGCAGTGAGTGTGTTCATCTAGCCGGTATTGGGGGCACAAATCGGACACCGGGGCTCTTGTAGAGGTATTCCATAATTTGGTCCGCTAATTAACTGTTCTACATCAAGATTTTTCATATGAATTAAAAATTCACATTCTAAGTTATTTTCCTGGTGAAAAGATTTTTCTTGGAAGATTGGACGTTACTCTGTTTTCTTTTTTTTTTATTCCACTATTGAGTTATATATCTGACCTATTGTTGTCGTAGTAGTCATTAAGATGGCAAATATTTTTTGCTCATCATCCTCAAGTGATGATGATGCTCAGCACCCTGTCTATTACTGTTGAATGAGTTTAAATTTCAAGATCTAGTGGACATATACAAATCTCAAATTTAAACTCATTCAATAATAATAAGTAGGATGATGACTTGCTGTATTTACGCTGCAATAGTCGTTGACCGTAATTAAGATTGCAGTGGGGATGAGCAAGTGGTTCCATGGCCCTTAACCATCCGTACGACCGCACACCACCACTACGACCACCCCACCCCACCACCACTATAACCCAGTTCAGCTGCAGAAAGAAATCTACGACCTATAGGTCTTGTTTGACAGAGATAATTGACATGGATATGGACTATTCACTATATTAAAGATACTTTAAAGAAGAAACGAACGACAAATTCCTTATCGTGTCCAAGTTGAAAACAGACTACGGTTCTACTTCTATCGTTGATTTTGCATCAACAACACAACCATGCAGATCAATAAATTTGTGACCAAACCGTAAAAGAAAAACCAAATCTGAAAATTACAATCCATCGACCACACCCGCGAGCTTTTGATCAATGTTAAAACTAAAAGAGAAAAATCATGCGACATCCTATAAGTTGTGAGATATCTGCAGCTTAATTGAACTGTCTAAACACCATAATGCAACCTGCATGGATTTTGGCAAGGCAAGCCGGACATTTCATGCCTAAGAAAGCTGAGAGCCGGAGAAAAAGTTTCCGGTAAGGACTGTTCACCGAACACACATTTTTTCCCATGAAAAGATTGCATTGCAGCTCGAAGAACTCTTCGTTGTAATATTGGAAATTTGGCATGAAGCTTGTAAAGAAATGAGGGGACTCTTGCACTAGTTGGAAAAATGTGTACAAGAATCCGAATATTTTCTCTTCCTACAAGCCATCAGAAAATGAACATTAATCTACAATAAAACAAGGAAATTGTATCTGTTTAAAAGCGATTACAAAAGAAAAAAGGTTGGCCTCATACGCTATTCAATCTGCCGCTAGAAATGCAGAAATTTAAGAATACTACCCTGGTTTCTCGTCCACTGCACGAATAGAGGATGTGGCTACCATAGCTAGTTCCATTTTTTTGTTTTTGGCAGCTCTGATCTGGTCTGCAAACGAAACACCTTTTCGAATTTTCTCTCTCTTTACAAGCTCTAGGTCCAGTTTCTCCAAAGATGAGATATGTGACATGGTTATATCCCGTTGAGCAGCAACTTGACCATCTATTAAAGTCTTTCTGTCAAGCTATTAAGAATAAAGAGTAGAATACAGTAAGATGCGAACAAACAACATTGAAAACTTTATAAAACATTACAGAAAAGGAATAAATACACCGATCAAGCAAGGTCCCTTAAAAGTTTAAAACCAAGAAATCAAAACTGAGGGTGAACAGTGAACTACATAATTTCTGCTAACGAGCAATTACCTTCGTTAATCTCTTGTTACGTTTCAGCCCTTGAGGAACTGTCAACTCTTCATCATCTTCATTAATTACTCCATCTTCTTTCCTCTCGTGATCAAGCCTTGCCACCGTTTTTGCTTTAGCTTGTTCTGCTTTTTTTGCTCTTTTGTTTGCCATCTCCTTTGCCTTTGCTTTTTTCTTTTCTGCATCATGCTGAAGCTGTTGGAGATGTAATTCTAGTTTTATTTTCTCATAGCTATCCCAGTGGAGCTCTTTCTGTCCACTCCCACCTTTCTTTGCTTCCTCTGCTATGCTTTCTACCCATGAAAGAAAAATCTTCTCCCTTAACTGTTTCCACTTCAAACGCTGTCCCCAAACACGTCTAAGTGAAGAACGCATCTTTGCCTTGGACTCGGCACTACATAAAAGTCAAATTTTTGTCAAATTATGTACCACGTTAGTATGTGCCTTGGGGACTCAGCCACCCACAGAGCAAGACATAAAGGATAAATAAGGGGTCTACAATAGCAAATGGATCTTTCAGCAGTTGTGCGCTGCATGCAACCTACAACTATTGACTTCTATACTGTATATGAAACAAAAGTGATCATGTTTACTTGGCTAGCAGGCCTAAAAGAACCTCATACTAAGCTCTCTCTCTCTCTCTCTCTCTCTCTCTCTCTCTCTCTCTCTCTCTCTCTCTCTCTCTCTCTCTCCACCCAAATGCAAAAGTAAGAAAATACTTGCAAGGACATATCGAACGTTATCTACGAATGATTATTAACTTGTCTAACTACTCAGAGGAGCATTTGAGATAGAAATAAACATAAATTTTAGGGTGCATGTTGTCCTTTACATTATACCGTTGTAATTCTTGTAACATTTTACAAACATTAATCAAATGAAATCCAGTGGCCCATAAAGGCGTAATAACTATTTGAACGAGGATCAAAAGTTAGAAGGCATTTAAAGTTCATGGTGTCTCCAGAAAAATTTACGGCACAAAGTTCCTAACTTCCTTCCATATAGTCATCAATCACAGCATTTGTCTAGCTCCCCATCTCTATGAATAGATATCTTTTAAAGTGTAACAGCCACACTTGACATTGAGCAGCAAGCTAAAAATAACTCTCCACTCATTCAAAGCCTAAACCTCATTTTGGTTTGATATTATAACAGACAACCCATGGAATTATGAAGTTCGTATGTTTCATATGTGTATATGTGACAAAGACTTGAGTACCTATGAGGACGGGGATGCTCAGACATCTTCTTTCTAACCTGAAAATAGTGAGTGTCAACGAAATAGCAATTTTCGAAAGAAAAATAGTTGATTGAATTAAAAACATTCTTTTCTCTGTGCATAAGTTGTGCAGTACTTTTAACTAAAAAGGGAAATCCACAAACAAGAATACCAAACCTTCTAACATTTTTAGGAATAACACTGTATTGTGCCTTTTAAATAATGTGAACTCTTATATGCTAGTTCAAAAGCACAAATATTTGAAGAAAAATATCATAAAACTTAATGAATCTTACATTACTTCACCTTGGGGTCCTTTAATGCTTCTATTGTTCTTTGCTTGATTCGCTCACAAGTCTCTGCATTATATGAAAGATCACAACTTCAGATTCAACCAAATGTATGAAAGTTTAAAATCCAACCAAAAATTTACACTCGGTTTCTACTTTCTATTTACCTGAACTATGTTTCCTGCCCTTATTCCATGGTATCCTCCCTTTGTTGGCCTGTCCTATTTTTTTTCGTCTCTGTCTCTCCTTTTCTTCCTTGCTAAGAGAGTCGCCGTCATTATCTGATGGAACCTCCTTGCTTAAACTTTGTTTCTCATGTGTATTTATGTCGAGTAAAGAATGACAGATGTCCATAATATTAATATCACAATTTTCAGCCATGTCAGCACTGCTGTGCGCGGCTCCCAGACAATGAAGTCTAGGGAAGGAACTTACAAGAACAACCGAGGGAGAACGATTCCTCAAAACAGGCAAATAATAGTTCCAATTTTCTGGGTTCTGTGCAAAGTGAATGGCTTCCCCAACATAACCAAACAGTGGAACATGCTTGAGAGTCAAGTATGGTGGAGCAGCCAATCTCCTGACAGAAACTCAAACACATCAATCTGGAGCTGATTTCATTTTATAAAACTAATCAACCACAAAACAATGAACGTATACGTAAGTGTATACAAAACACTGTCAAGAATTTCCCATACAGGCAAGAGAGAATTGACTTCCTCATCAATTCTCTTAACGAACTGAGCTACAAGCAACATTGGGGAACGGAGGAATCAAACTCCGTACCCAGGTGCAAGGTGAATGCTCTTAACGAACTGAACTACAATCCCTCTTTAACCAGTCAGTATCAAATATGCAATGCCACCACTAAAATCACCATAAAAACTCATGTCTGCTGGACATTAACCACATTTGTATAAATCCCAATCAAATATCACCTACCAAATCCACACTGAGGCCATGAGAGATACAAATTTTGGTTAAAAAAAACTTCCACTCACTACTTTCACTTTCCACTAACACAAGAACAATAACAAAACAAGATTGAAGCATTCACATTTTTTGCTTTTCCTCAAATTTCATTGAAATGCTCAAACTTTATGGAGATAATTCAAACAGTAGACATTTTGGTAAGGAGATAAACGCGTTATAGAAGAAACCCATTTCAGGAAATGGGTAAATTTTCCAGGAAAGAGAGAGAGAGAAAGGAAGAAGAAGAAGGAACTTACAGGTGGAAGACCGGCATTTCGAGGTGGAAAGATAAGGCGGAGGGTGGAGGCGCACCAGAGAGACCCGCTTTGAAGCAAAACGCGGATTTGAGAGCGAAAGCGGATTGGTGCCCGCCCCTTCGGCTAGAAATATATTGGGCCTCGGCCCATCAAATAAAAAGGTAGAAAGCGTTAGCAATGTCCTACATCCCACAATCCTATTTTTTAACATCGTTTGATTTTGTCCGATGATCTTTTCATTTCAGTTCAACATCCTAAATTTTTATGTTTTTAGTTTTAGTCGAGCGATAGTATTAATAAGTTAGATATTTGATTAATCACTGATGAAGTTTGAACTTACGTCGTTATATAAGGGCACAACACACTTTCACTACTGTGGTAAATGGTCACTTGCGACATTTTCTTAGTGATTAATTTCATCACAATTATGTTTTTTTGTTGAATCCATTACATGCCTAAATATTATTAATTTTAAAGTGAATATACGTCAACAAAATGTTGCAAAAGAAAAATTGTATTGACTTGGAACATTGATAATCAAGTAATGACAACAATTAAGAGCAAGGGAAACTTAACACATCTTCAGAAAATTCAGAAATTTGTATTGTACAAAATGGAAGAAAATAATCATCAACGTAACGATATAATTGACACAACTAATATCATAAACAAACCATTGACATGAATTGAAAGTTTAGAGAACCCTCTAAATATTATAGAATAATTCCGCTTTAACATGAACCAATTAAATAAAGGGAATTTTATTTTTAGTTACAGTCCTTGGAACTCAATTTGATTCCACTTTGTTCTCTTAAAACTCAAAAGTCGTCACTTTTACTCTTAAAAAGCATGTGATCTAGTGGAAAAGATTACCAACCTGAAGATGGTGCAAAGCAATGCCGAAATCCCTCTCAACTATAAGAACACTTTATCTCCAAAAATCACTACAAAATGAGCAAATGAAGACAATGAAAAAAGAGGAAACTTCTCATTCTTATAGGGTTCAACATGGCCAAAGAAATTCAAAATTCAAAATTCAAACCATGAGAAAACCCACATTGAAAGTCTTCAAACTTCCACAGTTTTCAAATTTCAAACTTGCAGCACCCCCTCTCCCCCTAAAAAAAAAGGGAGGAGGTGAACACATTAGCTTCATCAATTTATGGTGTCAACAAGAGCTTCATCAAAGGAGTTCAACCACAATTCTCAATAGTTTCACACACTCTTGATCAAGACAGTGTGAAGTAAAACCAATTTATGGTGCCAACAAGAGCTTCATCAATGGAAGGCAACCACAATTCTCAAAAGCTTCACACAAATGGAGGGCAACCACAATTCTCAAAAGCTTCACACACTCTTGATCAAGACAGTGTGAAGCAAAACCAATTTATGGTGCCAACAAGAGCTTCATCAAAGGAGTTCAACCACAACTCTCAAAAGCTTCACACACTCTTGATCAAGACAGTGTGAAGCAAAACCAATTTATAGTGCTAACAAAAGCTTCATCAATGGAGGACAACTACAAATTCTCAAAAGCTTCACACTATCTTAATCAAGATAGTGCGAAGCAAAATCAATTCATGATACCCAACAAAAGCTTCAACTCCAAAGCTTCACCTACAAAGCTTCAACACAAAAGCTTCACCAACAAAAGCTTCATCAATGGAGGACAACTACAAATTCTCAAAAGTTTCACACTATCTTGATTAAGATAGTGTGAAGCAAAATCAATTTATGGTACCCAACAAAAGCTTCAACTCTAAAGCTTCACCTACAAAGCTTCAACTCCAAAACTTCACCTACAAAAACTTCAACACAAAAGCTTCACCCACAAAAGATTCAACACAAAAGCTTCACCTACAAAAGCTTGACCCATAAAAACTTGACCTATAAAAGCTTGACCCACAAAATCTTGACTCACAAAAACTTAACCTATAAAAGCTTGACCCACAAAAGCTTGACCCACAAAAGCTTCACCTACAAAAGTTTGACCCACAAAAGCTTGACCTACAAACGCTTGACCCACAAAAGCTTCACCTACAAAAGATTAACCCACAAAAGCTTTACCTACAAAGTTTCAACATAAAAGCTTCACACTATCTTGATCAATATAGTGTGAAGCAAAATCAATTCATGATGCCCAACAAAGCTTCAACCTTAAAACTTCACCTACAAAGCTTCAACACCAAAGTTTCACCTACAAAGCTTAAAAAAAATATATATATTTTTTCGGAAATCCAAAAATTCAAAAATTTGAAAATTTGAAAGAAAAAAAAATTGCCTAGGCCTCATCTTCTTTAGGCCTAACAACTTTCATTACGCAGTACAACCCCAGAAGACGAAGATAATAAATGCTTTTGGAACAAACCCACAAACCTTTGATGATCAAGCAAAATCTGACCATCAGATTCCTGCAACTGGTCAATCTTCCTCTTTATGTTTGTAGCATAGTCATGTGCGAGCCTGTGCAACTGTTTATTCTCATGCTTGAGCTCTCTGATCTCCTGTTTGAGACTTATCACTTCAGCCGCTAATGATTCAACTTGGCGGGTTCGAGCAAATAGGCGTTGGGCCATATTAGACACAGAATCTGCACATTGAACACTGAGAGCCAGAGAATCCTTAACAGCCAACTCATCAGACCGTTTGGAAAGTAGTCTGTTATCTTTAGGGGTGAGAATGTTCCTAGCCATCACCGCTGCGGTCATATCATTCTTCATCATAGAGTCCCCAACTGTAAGAGGACCAGTAATGGATAAAAATGATGGGTGCCATATGTTGTCTTGAGAAGGCATGGCTGCCTCTTCATCAAAGTTCAAGTCAAAACGACGATCGGATGGGCCAAACATTCTCAGAAATGATGAAGGAGAAATGAGGTGCAATAAATCTCTTAAGTACAAAAATAATGAGAAAATTCATACAAGCAATAACTCTCTGAATGTACTTCTTGCACACAATTGGTGTCCTTATAAAAGAAAGGGTAACAGGGCGGTTGGTTTAAAAATCGAAGATGCACTACCCTTCGAATTTCGAAGAGGCACCATTTTCCACACACAACATCAGCTCCTCGGGTATCACAGATAACTTTGTCAAAGATCTCTGACAAAGTTTAGACACATAAATTTTGAAGATCCAACTACCCTACTATTACCCATAAGGGTAGAGGAATAGCACCACTGCTTGATAACTAGAAAGTCCCAATGTGTGTCAACCTCCGTGCTCCGTGGCAAGACAGACTGGCAAAAATGCCCAACCTTTACTCACATTCAAGAAAACACTTCCAACATGATTGCTTTCTCAAAAATAAAAAATGCATCGTTCTCTGAATCTCGAGAGCCAAATCCCCGATAGGATTGCTTGTTCGAAAACTGAAGAAGCACTGCTCTCCGAACTTCGAGAGCCAGATTTCCTTGGATAAAGGTTGTCTGCAATCTTCACGCGCAACATCAGTTTTCCAGATACCACATACCATTTTTTCAAAGCACTTTGACAAAGTTAAAACATGTGAAGCTTGCAGCTCCCACTACATTGCTATGACCAAGAAGAGTAAAGGAATAACATTATTATTTGCTCAAAAATCGAAGAGGCACCGCCCTCCGAATCTCGAGAGCCAGACTCCCAACAAGATTACTTTCTAAAAAATCGAAGAGGCACCGCCCTCCGAATCTCGACAGCCAGACTCCCAACAAGATTACTTTCTAAAAAATCGAAGAGGCACCGCTCTCCGAATCTCAAGAGCCGGACTCCTAACATGATTGCTTTCTCAAAAATCGAAGAGACACTGTTCTTTGAATCTCGAGAGCCAGATCCCTGACAGGATTGCTTGTTCGAAAACTGAAGAGGCATCGCTCTTCGAACTTCGAGAGCCATATTTCCTTGGATAAAGCTTGTCTGCAATTTTCACACGCAACATCAGCTTTCCAAATACCACATACCACTTTTTCAAAGTGCTCTGATAAAGTTAAAACACGTGAAGCTTGCAGCTCCTACTACATTGCTACGGCCAAGAAGGGTAAAGGAATAACATTACTACTTGTTGTTAGGAAGACTCCTATATAGGTCAACCTCCATTCTCCACGGACAGGCAGACCTGCAAAAATGCTCAACCCTTCCTCATATCTGAGAGGGCACTCCCAACGAAGCCTCTCGAAATACTCAGCTTTCTCCCCCCCCCAATAATACATATGCAAACCAGCCACACCAGAGCAAAAGTATCTCATATCATCAGGGTTAAAAGCAAGAGTATCACATATCATGCTTTTTCCCTGTCTTTTCCTTTGCCATTGTTCTTACCTGCAAGATAAGGAGAAAGAGAGCAATTAGTCAGCACTTGGAATCAAGCTTCCAGTCAAGAACTGACTGCCTGGAACCCCTTGCACGATTACTTACCTAACATTGCTCTCGAGTACTCATTTTCAACATCTTATGCTTTCAGAAAAGATACCACATCTGCCTGAGGAACAGATAGGGCAAGTGAAAAGGATACAAGGAAACATGTGGAGACAAGTGCAACAGAACACGCGCCGATTCATCTATTACTTCGTCAACAGCAAAAGTATCTCATATCATCAAGGTCGAACGCACTCTTGATTTGATGGACTTGTTTTGACCCTCAAATTCTTAAGTCGGCCTTATACTCTAGAGGAAACCAGAAAACCCTCAAGCCCAGTTCAAGAATAAGCCTTTGGAAAGTTACTTCTTAAAAAACAAAAGTATCTCATATCATCTTTTCTCCATTTGCTTCTCCTTATCCTTGTTGCTGTTTACGACACAAGGAGAAGGAGAACAATCAACCGGAAGCCGAAGTCGAACCTCTGATCCATGTTGCTTGCTTGGAAGTCTGATTGCTTACCTTATCTGTTACCTCTTTTGGCAAATCTCCTAACTCGGCAACTTGGGGACTCCTACTATAGGGTTTTGTATCGCACTTGACCAAGCCCGAAACTACAAGTAAGCTTTAAGTGAAATTGATACATTACCTTGTACATCTTCATCGGTTAAAGATACCACCCCTGGATAGAGGAAGAGTCCTTCTAGAGAAAATGACACATCTACGTATGAGACAGATAAGGCAAGTGAAAATGATACCACACTTCGATACTTAGAAGTTTCGTGATTACTCAATGGCTTGGATC